TTAACTAAGGGTGGTACCATGTCAAAAGAAACAATATGTATGGAGGCCAGAGTGCAATGGGCAGGTTGAGCCAGAGACAAAGTGAACATTTTAAAACATCATATTCTGCATCACAGCAACCTCCACGTACCACCTCTAGGCTGCTCAGGAAACAAACAAACAAAAAATCATATAGTCCAATTTGGGTTAAAAACTATCCACAACCAGGGCTAGGATTGTGGCTCAGCAGTAGAGCGCTCGCCTAGCACGGGCGGGACCCGGGTTCGATCCTCCCTGCACCACATAAAAATAAAGGCATTGTGTTGTGTCCATCTACACCTAAAAAAAAAAAAATTATCCACAACCAAAATAGAGTAAGTCCAAGACACTAACTCTAATGTATTTCTTGGCTCATTTCTAAGATATCTGGGTTTTCCCCAAAGCAGACCAATTCTAGGTCCAACTTCCCAGGAGATTCTAATATATAGGACAGTTCTTGAATCATTCTTGAGTAATTCAGAAGCAGACCATTGTGCAAACTCTGTACCCACCCAACTTGTGGATTGAAGGTCCGTGGACAGCACTACAGCCTCACAGGTTGGTTAGGTTTAGCCGTCCCTGGTCAGGGTACACACAGGGTGAGGAGACGCAGACCACGCACTGTTCTCCTCGGGGCCCTAATTACCAGCACAATACAGATGTCCACACTACAGATGCGCGCGCGCACACACACACATACACACATGCTGAGCAAAGGAAAGCATAGAGTAGACGAGAGTGGTTCTGCAACTTGTTTAGCCTCTCTATACCTTAGCTTCCAACTCTAAAATACCAATAATAATAGCAGCCATCTCATAAATTTGTTATGAGAATTAATTAATGTCTCTAATAGTGCCTGGCATTGAGAAAACTCTAGTGTTTTTTTAAAGATGCACGCAGGAATAAAGCAAAATAAATACTTATGCACAGTATATATGATCTCTACTTTAAAGATATAAGTATAATTTTTTAAAATAGTTTCCTTCAGTAAAGTTTAAATTTTTCTGCTATGATACAAATTAAAATAATTTCTACTGAAAGTTCACTTAAATCAGCTCTATCAAGACTACAGTAAATGGGCTGGGGATGTGGCTCAAGAGGTAGCGCACTCGCCTGGCATGTGTGCGGCCCGGGTTCGATCCTCAGCACCACACACAAAGATGTTGTGTCTGCCAAAAACTAAAAAATAAATATCAAAAATTATCTCTCTCTCTCTCTTTAAAAAAAAAAAAAAAAAGACTACAGTAATGATAAAAGTTAATCTAACTTTATGTAATACATTAACCTATTCCACTTAAAATATAGCTAATCTGCCAGGGGAACAGCAGGGTTGTTCTAGTTATTCATTTAACCTTCTTTCCTATTAAAGGGAAAGGCCTCTGAATGCTACATAATTAGTGGTAGTTAATGGAAGACAGGAATGTAATGAAATCCAGAAAACTTAAAAAAAAAAAAAAAAAAAAAGAAAGTCTCAGTTTAAATACTTGAAAATTCAAATCAGTTATGTCTTAGTAATTTTAAGTACTCAACAATTTTTCTTCAAAGTTTATAATCCATAAAAACTATTTAAAAAATGGCAGAAGGAAAAACTTATAAAATGTGGGTAAAAGCTCCTAATCTGGGTCAGAACTGTTTCCTTGACAGGCAGGCCAAGTACAGGTCAGTCATTCCCAGTTTATAAGTCACCAGCCTGAACTGGCAGCCACAGGAGGGAGAAGTATGGGCCATTCTGTTTAAATTACATGTCCTCCTCAGAGCTATAAGGACAGCATGCACATCAGAGGTCACCACAGGCTTGGAGGAGCAGCACCGGGGCTGGGGGGGGAGGGCACTGGGGGGGGGGGGGGGGGGGTGTCAACAAATGAATGCATTTGCAACACTGTAAAACTAAAAGGAGTGAATTTCACTGTGCATAAAAATGGGGGGATGGGGGAAAAAGTATGGAAAAATTGCCTATTAAAAATTTTTAAAAAGGAAGTAGATCCTTAAGAAGAAGTCACATGAAAGATTTCCCTTCATAAGTTCAAATACAGGAACATGAGAGCATAATGCAGTACACTGGAAACATCCTTCCAGTGGGCTGGGGTGAGGCTCAGTGGCAGAGCCCTACTGAGCACATGCAAAGTCGAGGTTCCATCCCCAGCATTGCCAAAAAAAAAAAAAAAATCCAAACCGTGACAAATGTGGCAAAATTCTTCATTGCAATAAACATTAGCTAATCTTAAGGCAAAAGAACTTGTTAACTGAATGCCTGCATAGTCATATTAAAAAGAGAATTATGAGTAAAACTAGGAAACAATTACTAACATTTTTATGTACCACAAAAACCACTAAAATAAACACACTTGAACACTTGAAATTAGTGTCCATTTCAACTATGCTGTCTTGATGAGGGTACTGAAGCCCCAGAAAGATACAGGGCCTCCTTTTTCACCAGCGGGCTGCTCAAGAAGCAGGACCTTCGGCTCCCTCCAGAAAACCTCGTTGCATAATAGCAATCACAAGCTGCACTCCTCGGCCAGGCCGGGCAGGGCTCTGCCCTCAGCTCACCACCAGGAAGAATCCCAAGGTGGGGGCACACCCTGAAGCCCCAGCCACCATCTGCACAAGCCCTAGCCACTGTCCACACAGCAAGCCTGCCAAGCACAGGGGCTTCAAACCTCTGTCCTCACTAGAAAACTACTCAGGAGCCCCGAGGGCCCCGCAGTGCCCAAACCTGTCTCCTCTCTACAGAGGCCACTGGCCAGAATCTGCAAGGGGTGTCCTGGCTCTCCAGGGCCTGCAGAGGGTTCCCTCATCCTGTTCCTCAGAGAAAGAGCTTCTGCAAGGGCACATTACCCAGCAGCTGTCAAACCTTTTGGTTTTAGGAGACCTTTATACTCTAAAAAAAAAATCACCAAGGACTCCAGAGAGTTTCTGTTTATGTGGGCTACAATCTAACATTTACTGTGTTTGAAATAAAGAAATTTTAAGAATATCATTAGTTCACTTAAACCCCATAACATATTAATATAAATACGTTTTCATTTAAAAAAATATTTTCCAAAAAATCAAGAAGGGCTATACTGTTCCACATTTTGCAAAACACTCTGATGCTGGGCTCATAACAGGCAGCAGACCTCGGGCTGGCTCCTGCAGTCAGTCTAGCCATCACGGCTACCCAGAATCAGTCATTGAAAGCCCATGGCACACTCTGGAGGATGAAGACAAAAGGCAAATAACGTCCGAAAGTACTCTGAAAATGGTCTTAACCTTGCAGATCCCCAGAAAGGGTCTCAGGGACCCTGTGGTCCTGCTCCCACCACTGCCCCTCTCATCCACCCTGGGGGCTGCTTCAACAGGTAATCAGGCTCCACCTGGAAGTCAGTCTCACATTCTCCCCTCCCCCCAAAGGCACATCTTCCCTAACCACAAAACAACCCAAGAACATCTCCTCTCAGGTCCCAAAACTTCTTAAAAGTGTAGTTCCTACAGCCTCACTGCCCCTCCCTGTTAGTATTTTAATTACTAAAAAGTAATACATAGAGGCATTTATTTTTCTTTAAAAAACTCAAACAATATAAGCAACCATCCACCATCCCAATCTCCTCTCCAGAGGGAACTGTCACCTACTTTACCCAGAACCTACTTTTTAAACCAGATTGAACTTTCCATTTTCCTATAATTTGCCCTCTTCCCTCAACAGTTATTTTAAAAATTCTGCTTAGGCTCATTCCTTCTGGTGACCTAATTTACCAGTCAGGAAATAGGAGGAGTGAGCCATCCTGTGCAGAGGCAGCAACGCTACAGCCAGCTGGTTCTGTCCAAGGACGGGGCCTTGTACACATGGCCACACCACATCACCAAGTGTAGGCAAGTGCCAGAAACTCCCTGGTCTTCACTGTGACAGAGCCTTCAAGTTTGGGAAACATCTGCTCACATAAGGCGATGATCTCTCTTAAGTTCCACAACGCTAGGAAGTCACTAGGGATTGTCATTAATGCTTTACAGGTAAGAGAGACAAAGTTCTGAGAGAAAAAAAAACAAAAAAACACTTGCTCAAAATTGTACTCCTAGAAAGATGCACACCCAGAAACCACAGATAAAACCTCCATTCTGACTCCAGTCCAGTCCTACTCATTGATGCCCCCTGAATAGTGCCTCAAAACCCTAGCAATATAAAAATACTAAGTGACCTATTTTTAGAACTAATTTGAAAAATTATCTCAAGTTATTTCAAAGTTGAACAGAAAATACAAAAATCATTTTTGCTTTTTATTGCATAATATAATCCCTTGGGAAGCTTGAATTTCACTAAAGTTAAAATTTATTAAAACCTACATCAGAATGTAGAGGCATCAGAAATACAATTTCCCAAATCCTTTATTCAGGCATCATCATGAACAAGAACCCAACGCCCCACTCCATGAGAGCAGAAAGAGAGTCACACGGTGCAGCCCTGGCACCTCAGGGACACACAGAAATGCCTCAAACTTCACAACCACAGTTCTGAACCAAGTTATTTAAATTATTAAAAAATAATAAGGCTACTTGTATGAACAACACAACATTTGATTCCTTATTCTTCTTTCTAGAACACTGTTTCTGAGTCCCTATTTTTTTTCCTACACTCAGGAAGCCTCACAGAGTCCAACACATCTAAGTGATATTTTGATCACAACACACTAGGCTGGGTTATTAAAAAATAAATAAATTGGACTTAATTTTTATTCAGAGATCTTGGTCTTAACTCAATCCCACAAATACTATTACAGAAACAATTTTAAACTATGATTAAGTCACTCTTTATAATACACCTTGATATTACAAACATGTAGACAAGGTAACTAATTTCTCCTCACTTTTCATCCTTCAGTATAAACAATTTATAGCTGTTCTCAATATATTCTTAAGAGAAACCAAGAACAGCAGTGATATGGTCAGCACTAAGTAAAAACAGGACAGCCAAGTTGCTTTACTCAAAATACTTGAGTGTCTCTTACCTCTGTTTCTGTACAACGTGAATTTCCCATTTTACCTGTAATAAAAATGAGATAAGTTACTTTCAAGGATTTTGGATTTTTTTAATCATTGACGAATATATGAGTTACTATGACCATGACTTTATTATACCTATAAAAATATCTATGCAAATAAAAAGTGCTAGAGTGACCAATTTTCTAGGTCTTGCTCAGATATTTAAGCCTAAATGGGCCCATGCGAAAATAATAAAGAAAAAGATAGAAGAATATGCTTAATTGTAGAATGATCTAAAACACACACATACTTAATATGCATTCATACCAGTTAATCAAAAGAAAATAAAAATGCTTTTAAAGTCCTACTTTCTTTTTAAAATATCTTAAAATATTTTAAAGACATTTTAAATATACCTTAAGAAAACTTTAAAGATTCTTGGGCTTTCCCCCTAATATATTTCCATTTTAAAGGTACAGTGATCATTTCAATGCAAGCAGAAACGTTTCAAATTCAAGTTTTCTTTAACACATGTGGCTTTTCTTCTTTAATATGTGATTAGATGGCACATCATGAATTTAGTAATTCTTTCAATAGAAGACCACCTGAAGGATGACCAGAATTGAACAGGACCTGGCTGTACCAACATAGTGTCATTCGTCACCTCAGAGACATAAGCCAAGGAACATGTGTGGCCATACATTTCTGTCAATGTGGGTGGCGAAAACGCTTTTACAAACAAAGATGTTGTGTCCGCCGAAAACTAAAAAATAAATATCAAAAAATTCTCTCTCTCTCTTTAAAAAAAATAAAATAAAAAATAAAAGCAGCTGCTTTAAAGGAGAACCTTGCATTAAGTAGTGTCGACAAGAACAGACAACACCTCCATGTGCTCCATGTGGGCCCTGGGAATTCAGTGGTTCAGGCTTCATCCTCCTGAGCTCACCAGCGGGCAGCGCTGCTCTCCCTCCTCCCACATGTCCCCCGCTAACCCCACTTCCTCACCACCCCCCTCACCCAGCCAGCTCCACAGTGATGGCCCCATCTGTCTTGGGGCTTTCCTTTCTTCAGGTTTAATGACTTCCTACGCCTGAGAGTCTATGATGACACCACCAAAGGAAAATCATGAGCAATGGTTTCGTAGGCCACCCAGTTCTAGACGAAAACTGAAGGGGAGCCACGATTCCCACCACCTAATGACCCTAATGTAAAAACACCAGCTGCAGCTGAGGTCAGATAACAAGGGACCTCGGGTCCTGCCAATTAAAACATATATATAAGCAATGAGTAATTAAAGACTATGTGAATATATATAATGAGCTAAATAGATGAGGTTTTTATATTGGAGGGCTTGCTAAAGATGACTGTTTTTTAATCTGTTATATAAAATTATTAGGATGTGATTCTGCATATCGTTACAGACTTTATTTATGTCTATATTCACATACAACTATCTGTTCAAACCATTAATGCTGTGGATAGATTAGTTTTACTAAACTCCTACAAAAGTGGTAATGAAAGCAGGAAAGTGCTGTTGATCAGAGGCAGCCCAAAAAAGGGGGCAGACTGGTTCTTTGCAAACATTTCCTAAGGCCTATTCTGCACCAGGGGAGGGGGCCACCCCACACTATAAGAGAGAACAGAGTAACCTCCAAGAGTATGCACATGGATGTGTGGCTTCAGTAGGATAGATTCTTAAAGTAAAGAAAATTACAAAGAAATCTGTAATTTTTTTGGTAGTGGGTTTGCTGCTGGTGGTCTTGCTGGTAAAAACTGTGAGCACTGAGCAAATGAGTAGACAGATACACTGGTGGTGGGAGGACCATTCTGTGAGGGAAGGAAAACACAAGACTATGTGGTAAGGAGGGGAAGAGCTCTGTGGGTGACTAGAACTAGAGTCATTTCTCAATTCCACACCCACGCTTTCCAGGCACCCATTCTGCAAGGGCACACCTATGCCCATTCCCCTTCATTGGACCAGGACCCCTCGGGAGCTGGCCAACTCTAGGCCAGGACAGGGAAATGGCCAAATGAGCCTAAAACATCTTGCACCTGAACATAACAAAGTGCTTAAAGAATGATAATGTCAAAAGGGCATTTGATTATATGTAATAGGATTCTTTCCAAAACCTGTTTACAAAACTGAAAATGCCTTTCTATAAGAGCATCAAGAATTCTTGTGAGAGATTGTAACTGTTCCTGGTTATCCAGGGTGAGCTGGTGAATCCCCCCCAGAGAATGTGACAACATCCCAAGTATGCAGGGCCTGACCGCCTACACCAGTCTGCCACCAAATCCTCGCCCAGATGCTGACCCAGGAGTCAGAAAACCCCAATCACATGACATCAGAGCTTAGGACCTTGGAAATGGTCTTGCTTAATCCACTCAATTCGTAGATGAGTAACCCGAGAGGCTGCAGAGTCAAATGACTGGCATGTGATGACACAGAGTGGGTGGCAGGCCAGGAGGACCGCCAGGCTCCCGATCGCCTGTGTGCTGGTGGGGCTGTCTTACCCCGATCTCCATTCCCACTTCCTAGAGCTGGTGGGACGAGGAGGGGATCGCAGGGATGCTGTGCTGGCGGGGAGAGAGGGGGGGAGATGGAGAAACCGCCACTCTCACACACCACCCAGGCTGGAAACCTCCAGTCTAGCACCAAGGGATTTTCACTTGACCATTTTTGCACCTTTCTTCAAGGACTGGGCACTGTTGTATAGAACCAGAATAAGGATCCCTCCAGAACCCAGAAATCATACGAGGTCACCTATGGCACTTCCAGTTGTATACACTGATAGAAGGCCTTCCCAAGTAGTGAGATTATAAACACAGTGAAGCAGATCTTTCAATTAAATATGAAGTAGGCTGAGTTTAGAAGGACAGATTAACTGTGTGACAACATAAAATCAAATATCTGAAGTAAGGGTCTGGGGCTCAGCGGCAGAGCGCCCGACTAGCACATCAAGGCCCTGGGTTCAATCCTCAACACCACATAAAAATAAATAAACAAAGGTATTGTGTCCAACTACAATTAAAAAATAAATGCTAAAACAAAATCTGAATTTAAATATTAAGTTTTCAAAATATTTCCAAATTGTCAAGAAGCACTTACACACTAAGCAGAGGGATATTTGCAAAGGAAGCCAGAAGTTTAGCTCAATGTTTCTCAACAGGAATGGGCAGGGCCGTGTTTTAAACTCTTCTTTTTAACTCATCTAAAAGACACATTCTGTTCTGAAGTTTTCCTGGATGAGCCCCTCATGATCCAGGAAACGGAACACCCTGCATCTCAATATAAAATGATAGGTAATGGTTTTAAGCAGCACACAGAGGGCTGGGGTTGTGGCTCTGTGGTAGAGCACTTGCCTAGCACATGTAAGGCACTGGGGTCAGTCCTCAGCACCACATAAAAATAAATAAATAAAATAAAAAGGTTATTGTGTCCATCTACAACTAAAAAATATTTACCAAAAAAAATAGTAGCAGCACACCAGTCCTGGTATAAGAACTCACCAGACAACACCACTCTAGCAGGCTTTTTTTCTTAAATTTTTTTTAAGCTATAGATGGACACAATACCTTTATTTTGTTTATTGATTTTTATGTAGTCTGGGGATTGAAGGTAGTGCCTCACATGTTCCAGGCAAGAGCTCTACCACAGCCCCATCTAGCAGGCATCTTGAGTCTTCAGTGCTGACACTCAGGTGGCTGCAGTCAGCAATTCTGCACACGTCACTTCCGAGGAGGCGCAGCAGGCCACGGGGCATGGCATTAAGATCACAGCTCAGCGCCCCATCCACTTCCCTCAGTGCAGCCAGATTCCCAGGAACCACACAACTCTGACACAAACTTTTTCTGGCAGTATTTCAGAAAAAGATCCCCAAGTTTTCATATGGCCAAACAGTACTTTGGAGTCAGGAGCTCTGGAGCAGAAGCCTCCCACCTGGCTGAGTGATCACACCTGGAGCAGAAGCCTCCTGCCTGGCTGAGCGATCACAATGCCACACACAAACCATTGAGTAAGCACAGGGCAAACTATACCCCCAGAGACACAGAATTCCTAAACTTTTAAACAAATAGATACTTCTCTGAATTATTCTCAAATCTCTTCCTTTGTGACCACACTGGACAATGTTCAGGTCCATCTGACCATGCGAACGAGTGTGCTTTATCATGATGAACCTAGGAGGTACCTCCACTGACTGAACACATATTAAGTGCTCCTGATGATCATTAGCACTGATGATGTGGAGTGAACAAGCCCGACACGGGCCTCGTCCCATAGTGTCTACATTTAATAACACAGACCAAAAAAGAGAATGGGAAGAAAACCAATCAAGCAAAATAATCACAACTGGTGATAACTGCTATTAAGGACACAAAAGGGAGAGAAAGAACAAGAGAAATGACTCCACTCAGGGTGGCCAGGTAAGACTCCTTGAGAAGATGCTGTTTAAACAAAGACCTCGAAGCTGAGCAGAACTGACTGCAGGCTACAGGAAAAAGCAGAAGACAGCAGTCTGTGGGGAGCACAGAGGGTCAGGAGGAGAGGAGAGGAGTGGGCCATAGGCCCACACGGGCGGCACAGGGCATTAAGCCGCGACTTAAGCACAAGAGGATATTCCTGAAGGACCCGACACGGAGGGAGCCGCTCCAATGTGTTCCAAGATGGCCCAAAGGCATCCAACTGGAGGGTCACCAGGGGAGAAGGCAGCAGGCTCAGAATCAGAGGGGAAGGGCAGACGGGAGCAGAGAGGAAGGGGACCAAGGGAACACGCAGGAGGCCTTCAGAAGCTGAAAAAGGAAGGATGCAGTCTCCCTGGAGCCCCCAGAGGGAACAGCCTGCCGACGCCTAGATTTGGGCTCTTATTTTCAGACTTCTGACTGCCAGAACTGTAAGATAACAATTTTATGTTGTTTTGAAGCCATGAAGTTTATGGTCATTTTTTACAGAAAACCAAGACATGGACCATCAAAGCAAAAGGACATTCCCTCTTCATTACAAACCCAATCCCAGGAAACCATGCACACTGTACCAACCCTAGAGAGAACACCCTGG